AATGTACCAACCGGTAACGAAACCGGTCTCCGTCTACATAGAGTAAATGGCGCTACCAAACGAAGATAAAATTTTGCGACTTAATCCACCAAATGCAGCTAACATTTTTTTATTAGATGGAAGTGAATTGTCCTATAAAGCTCTTTGTTTTGGTTCTCAAACTAATGTTCACATAAACTTGGTTGTTTTACATGCAAAGGATTATTTATGCCGATGTAAGAATAAGAAGCCGACATTGTTAGAATTCAAACAGAAACTCTCTTTTGAAAAAGCAGTTGAAAAGCATATAGCCCTAAGAAAAATGTTACTTTCTAAATGGTGTGATAAATTGAACTTAATTAATCTGTAATTCTGTATTAAAATGACACCCTTGTAGTAAATGTGTATGTCAAATAGACGGTTGAGGTGTTATGCTCATTTATGTAAATTTGGCACCAAAACTCGCCAAATGTGACATTTTAAATAATAGTAAATTAAAGTAATAGTAAACGTAAATGCTGTCTCTTATACACATCTAGATGTGTATAAGAGACAGTCACTACCCGACACAAACCCCGAACTTTATTCATGCAATACATAAATAGTTTCATCTTTCTGTACTCCAACATCACTGGCGCATGGTAACAACCAACTGACTGCAGACCATTTCCGGTCACACATTACTCTGCATAACACAGCACCCCCTAGTTCCGTCAACTCTGGGTAAAATTGGTAAGAATGCACCTGATCGGACCTAGAGAGAGAGAGAGCATTAAGCCACTTTGACACTTGCACGATTTTGTCCCCGCAATGCCGCGCAATGACGTGCCATTTCGGCATAGGCGTAGATCCCGGGGGGGGGGGATATATCCCCCCAATATTTGACGAGGGGGTTGGTCCATTGTATCATCCCCCCCCCAATATTTGGACTATGTATGGGATAAAATGGAGCTTTACACACTTCAAAAGACTGTCACAGAAATAATTTGCACTGTCTTATGCGCTTACAAAGATAAAAATTAGCATAATGTATTAATGTTGATAACAAAATTATTTTATCTGGTACCAATCTAAGCTCTTCTTTCCTTAGATGTTATATGTGCTTGCAAAGAAAGTCACATTTCACACTGAAGGGTGTGTACAACATCAGTAATGTTATGTCAATTCCAAGAATGTTTAAGGTTATATCGGTTGATGAGGAATTTATTGATTAGGCCTATAATAACAAATTGCATCAAATTATTTTGCAAAAACAAGGTTTCCAACTTTAGAGGGTGGGGGGGGGGCACATCCCGTGTCCGCACAAGGGCACACATGGCGCGTAACAGGGCTAACACCAGGCGCGTAACAGGGGTCTTGGGTCGGAGTGGGTATTTATTTTCCCGGTTAGTAATTTACCATACCCACCCCACACCACTCCCCATATAGAAAACAATACGACATAGGGCTTATCTTATTTATAATATAGGCCACACACGTGTGTTTGAAATTAAATATAAAACATTTTCATCATGGTCTTGATGTTATTCAGTATTTAAATGAAAAAGAATTGGACGGTATGATTTTCATGGTCGATTTTGAAAAAGCATATGATAAGCTTGAATGGCCGTTTATTTTAAAAGTACTTGAACATTTTAATCTTGGAAAGAGTATTATCAGGTACATTCAAGCTCTCTACTCGGATATCTCTTCATGTATAATCAATAACGGACATTCAACTTCCTTTTTTCCGCTTAGTCGAGGGCTCCGACAAGGGTGCCCGCTTAGCCCATATCTTTTTATAATATGTAGCGAAATTCTTAATATTAATATCTGAAAAAACGAAAATATAGAAGGCATTACAATAGAAAACATTTCTGTCAAAATTAGTGCATACGCTGATGACACAACAATATTTTTGAAAAACATTCCCGCACTTCTGCACGTATTGGATGCACTTGAGGAATTTAAGCACTGTTCAGGGTTGGCTATTAATTTTGACAAATCTGTGGTGCTCCCATTTGGTGTATTTAAAAAAACCCCTCCAGACATTTCATACACGGGACTAGGTTTTACTGAAGGTCCAGTAAGTATGCTTGGCGTTACTTTTTCTGCAAATTTGAACGATTTGTTCGAATTAAATTTTAGAAAAACTTAAAAAAATGCTTAGCTTATGGTCCATGAGAGATTTAACACCATTTGGAAAAATCACTATTGTTAAATCTCTTGGCATATCTCAATTTGCATATCTATTTTCTGTTTTGCCTGACCCACCAAACAAATTTATCAAAGACCTCGAATCCATTATGTTTAAGTTTATATGGTCAGGCAAACCAGACAAAATTAACAGAAAACATTAATTGGAGACTATGTAGATGGAGGGCTTAGGATGTGTCATTTAGATTCAGTAGTTAAGGGGTTAAAAATAACATGGATCAAACGATTGCTTAATGAAAAAAATAAGGGCGTTTGGAAGGTATTTGATAAGAAGGGGCTTTCAAATTTTGTGCTTGTGCTTTTATATTTTTTTTAATGTAACTTCTTTTGTAAATTTGTTGGTCTTGAACGCACCGTCAATTGACGAGTGCCACTGTAACAAAAGTGTAAGTTCAATAAATTATTATTATTATTATTACTATTGTTAAATCTCTTGGCATATCTCAATTTGCATATCTATTTTCTGTTTTGCCTGACCCACCAAACAAATTTATCAAAGACCTCGAATCCATTATGTTTAAGTTTATATGGTCAGGCAAACCAGACAAAATCAACAGAAAAACAGTAATTGGAGACTATGTAGATGGAGGGCTTAGGATGTATCATTTAGATTCAGTAGTAAAGGGGTTAAAGATAACATGGATCAAACGATTGCTTAATGAAAAAAATAAGGGAGTTTGGAAGGTATTTTTTGCACTTCATATGAGAAATTTAGGTGGAAATTTCTTCTGGCGATGTAATATGAAATCAAACGAAAAATGTATAAGTAATATCACAAATCAATTTATAAGAAATGTGGTGTCAGCATGGTGTGATATTACCTTCGAAACGCCTGTTAACTGCTTTGGTAAACAAATTCTATGGAATAATTCGCAAATTAGAATTGGAGGAAAACCTGTGTTTAATCAAAGACTGTATAAAAAGGACATTCAGACTCTTGCAGATATCACGCATGTTAACGGTGTAATAATGTGTTATACCGACTAAAGTTAATTACCTAGATTTTTTTTCACTGATCCATGCTATTCCAGAAAATTGGAAAAAACAATACGAATTAGGTAATATCTACCATAATGTACAAAGTAATCAAGATGAAATTCTTGAAAGTGTAAAAAAAATCACCAAAGGTATGCAAGTTTATATGTGAATTGTGCACTAAAAAGTTACTTAAGACTCCGGTTTCCGAGATGAAATGGGCGGCAGAATTCAATGATCCTGAACTGAATTGGCCTGATATTTACCTTGCCCCACGTCTTTGTACGCAGTCGACGAGTTTTTGATACTTTCAGTTCAGGTTTTTACATCGAATTCTGCCGGTAAATGATTTTCTTTTTAAAATAAATATTATACAATCTGAAAAATGTACTTTTTGTCATTTAGAGACCGAAACAATTGTTCAACTTTTCTGGGACTGTAAAATCACTATTAATTTCTGGAAAGAAATTAACAAGCATTTTTTTATTAGATGGAAGTGAATTGTCCTATAAAGCTCTTTGTTTTGGTTCTCAAACTAATGTTCACATAAACTTGGTTGTTTTACATGCAAAGGATTATTTATGCCGATGTAAGAATAAGAAGCCGACATTGTTAGAATTCAAACAGAAACTCTCTTTTGAAAAAGCAGTTGAAAAGCATATAGCCCTAAGAAAAATGTTACTTTCTAAATGGTGTGATAAATTGAACTTAATTAATCTGTAATTCTGTATTAAAATGACACCCTTGTAGTAAATGTGTATGTCAAATAGACGGTTGAGGTGTTATGCTCATTTATGTAAATTTGGCACCAAAACTCGCCAAATGTGACATTTTAAATAATAGTAAATTAAAGTAATAGTAAACGTAAATGTAATTAATGCTTTGAAGATATTCAAGGTAAATTATTATTATTATTATTATTTTATTTATTGATTGATTTATTTTTTTATATAGTTCTACTTAAAAGAGGCCTATTATTATAATTCATTTTCTCTATATAGTATGTTACTTATGTTTTATATAAAGTATAACTTATGTGATAATAATTCAATATGATTGTTGGAAAAATGGTCAACATTTTATTTTTATTTCTCACCCTCACCTTCGCCTAGGCGAACTGGGCGAAGGTCTGGATCGCGTCTGAAGTTAGCATGCCTTCTGTAAGCCAGGACCCAGTAGTTTTGTTATGTTTCTTCACAGAGGGAACCCCCTGGATCCGCCATTAAGTAGAGATCAGTGGTGTCCACACGATGTTTACCCAGGACAACTAGTTGAAAGCTTAGAAGTAACTATGCAAATTTTCCGGAAGTGATAGTCACCACTTCGCTGTCTCTTGACGGTTATTTTGCACATATTTGTTTAGAAATTGTAAACAATTATGAAAACATCGTGCCTACTAGGCTTCCCACATCACAGGAAATGTTATTTTGGCACTCATTTGTAGGTATTCATCTTTTGAAAATAATTGAGGTCAAAATAAAGGTCGCATTTACTTTCGAGCTCTGAAGTAAGTGCGTCTACACACAGCGCTACTCCGAGCGCGCATTTCTTCCTTTAGTACGCGGAAGTAGCACAATTACTCCTGAGACTGCTCAGGAGTAAATCGTCTGCAGTACCGTTGAAGTAACTTAATACAAAGAGCGTCTTCACAGGAACTACCCAGGGCTTACGACAAGTAAACTGCTACTTCAAAGCTTACTTCTGACTCGTCTGAACGTATCTAATCTCAATGTGCGTCCTTCTGTTGAATTACCTTGGTCCGATTCACCTTTTATGTAGACCTATTGTATGAAAGATAACTAAAAAATCTAATGACCGATCTGTAAAACCAAAATGAACAAGGTATTTCAATAGAAAAACTCCCATTGTAGCCTACGTCAGAATTGCAAATTGATTTTTTTTTATTCCTAAAGCTTCGCTATAGTGGTAAACGAGGAGTGCAATATCATTACATCAGAAAGTATTTATACGACTAGCTCTACATTTTCACCCTGCTGGTAACATTCTACTTTGCAAGAGTTGAGTATCATACCTATGCTATATTGCATTACACTCTCCATGGGTTCAGAGCTGGATGTTGGATATGCGTGGGTTGTCGCCATTGCAAGTTGGACAACAACTGTTATAAATGTAATGGTAACGACAAGTGGGATTTATTATCCTTATTTGATTGACTATTACGAAGAAAGTGCAGCAACGGTTGGATTCGCACTTGTACTTATTCCTACAGTCAAATCTCTTTTTGGTACGTTTGGAATGGTGTATTTTAGCTTTTTCATGTACATACCGGTAAGGCCTACATATATATAATATAGGACATGTTTTCAATGCCTGATTTATGTGTTGAGATGTTGTGCATAATATCGGAAGAGAGGCAGGCAGCTGACCCTCCCGTGTTTTATTTTTATTTTTTCCTTTTAGCTGCTGGCACCTAGTTATTGTAGTCTTGCTTCTTTATATCTGAAAATGGAAACCTGCATACAAAAACAGAAAACTCAAACCACAACCATTTTTATTTTATGCAAAATTAAAATAAATAGGCCTAAGCAATGCTCTTGTCAAAGTTTTATAACCTATCTTCCCTTCCCTCATGTTTTGTCTGTCTCTTGGACATGAGATTTTTTTTCTTGGTTTTTGTGTTTAGCATTATAAATTTAACATTTTTATCTATATTTCATTCCAATAATACTACCATGTAGCAATAAGAAATGATTACTTGTAGATCTTTCATGTTTTTAAGATAAAGTGAGTAACCATGTGAATACAATAAAGGATGAAATGTAACTTCAGTTACCATAGAAATACTAAAATGATTATAAAGCATATGATGTCATTAGAAAACAAAATATTGTAGTGGTTGTTTGTAGCACTGAGTACCCATAATTGACTGATTAAATTATGTTACAATAATTTCATGTATTAGGATGTTATTAAAATTTCACTAGGAAAGAAATTAATACTAATAGTTAACTTTTTCCTAATAAGTATTGTCTAAGGAGAATAACGCAGAATGTGCACTGTTTTACACTTGGGCCCTCTATCACCACAATACCCTACATGTATTTCACAATTTCTGGATTAAACAAAAAAAATCATAAATCTTAAACAAAATGTTGAAGAAATTGAAACTGCAGAAAACAATAGTGTAGATTTTGCTACATTTCAAATAGCTGGGGAGTGAATAGTTACTAACATGATTTTGAGTAAACAGCCCTCTAAAAATATTTGTGAATACAATACAATACTGGAATTAACTACCAAAATAATGTTAAATAATGGTTTGTTGACCATTCCCACAACTAAACATTGGGACATGATTGATTGATAGCAAGCTATTATAATCAATGATTTACAGTGACAAAAATGTTTGATTTTTTTTTTATAGTACCACATTTACTCAATACTGGCCTGTGTAACTTAGCCATTTTGCCCAACATACTGTACATGAAATGTCATCAATATACATTTATCAAATACTAATGTTATTTGGGAGAGTTTTTGGTATGTTGACAGTGCTGGGGAACACCTAAGAGTACTGTACATGCACAGTTGAATCCATCCTTTCATTGGGCTTATTCGACTGGTTTATTTCGTTGAGTATGATTTTCATTCGACTGGTTCGTTAAATAGACATCACAAGAAAATGACAATAACATAATAACAATCCTAACACGCACAAAAAAACATCTTCTTCAAAACCTTAAAAAATCTCCCCTAAGTCTCGTACTACTACATGAATGCGTTTCTATTCCGTCGTACCACGTTTCTCTGGCTAATTAAAGCCTTGCTTGAATGGCTATCAGCAGAGAGGGGTGTAGAGTATTATATTGAATAGCTTACCAAAAACAATGATTAATATCATATCTTCGTAAGTCCTTGGCCAATTTTAATTGGGAAAGCATGAAAATGTTCAAAATCATTAAATAAATTATTCGTAGCCCACTATATAATTTATGGCATAACAATATAAAATAAAAGTGTATCAGTCAAGGATTGCTTTTGTATAGGTGTGAAAACCTAAGAGAATAATCACCAGATAAAGGCTACTCCTTTTTTTCGACCTGCTATGAATGTCTGTGTTCAAAGAATTACAACTAAGGAGGACTATGGCTGCAAACTATTTTCATCTCGGTACTCAGCAAAATGACTTAAAATAGGTGGCAGGGAGATATGGTTTATCCCGTACGGCTTCAATTTCTGTCAAAATCAAAATAGCAAACACCACAGGCACAACTGTATGGCTAAACGAGAGAAATAATATACAGCATACAACCAGCAAGCATGGTTTTTGAGCTTATTTGTTTACAACAAAAAATCTGTAATTGTCAAACACATTTGAGGTTGATCGCAGTTCTGCTAAACAGGAACTAAAAACGTGCGTGACAGACTCCAATTGGTATAAAATTAATGTTTTCAACAGTCGCCCCGCCCTCCTAGATTTTTAAAAATTATATTTTATGTTCAGATTTAGGTCTGGAGATCGTGGGTTCGAGTCCCACCCGAGAACAACTTGCAATTTTTTTTCGCAATTTTTTTCAAACGTACTGTGTATTCAGTACATTTCCACGTCAGGTAAGGCAAAATTACACCTATAAATGATTCTCCCGATGCAATTCCAGTTATTGTCTATTCCATCACAATAACAATTACTATCATACAAATTATTGTTGACAAATACTCTTGTTTATTGAGAAATTCGAACAAATTTAAAATTGTTTAACATAATCCTAAAGTATCTTAGGTAAAGCATGTTTCTAGATTAAAGATATACTTAAGTCCCAAAGCACAATTCTATAAATATTTCAGATTAGTAGGAAAATCTGGAGAATAAGCTTTAAAATATTTTTTTTATCCATTAATTAATATTTTGTCTTTCTGTATTATAATATTAAGATATGATTTTAAATGTTACAATCATAAATGTGCTATCTCGTCTAGGTGTGTTTATTGCAATAATCGCCAAAGCACTGGGCTGCCGGATTGTTGTGATCCTCGGAAGTTTTATCTTGATGTGTGGCTGTATTTTAATGGCATACTCAACGAGTATTACTGCGGTTTTCCTGGCTTGTAGCCTTATTGGTAGGTACAAGTTAGAAAATATGTTGTAGATGTAAAAAATATATACAAGGTGTATGAATTAAACTGTCTTTTAATTAGGCCTATATTGTTACTATTTTATTTACTTTTTTTAGAATAAAAATTGGGTTATTTACTTCTTTCATTTTTATTTATCATCTTTCATGTTTTCTTTCTTTTGCAGGTATTGGAATATGTGTAAATTATTTCGTAGCTTACTTCATCATAGATGTTTATTTTAAAAAATATTTTACTTTAGTGATATCTATAAAAGCAGCAATAAACGGTGCAGCGCTGATGATGGCACCGTATGTCAATCGGGTAGGTCTACATATTCGACAATTTTGAATAAAGAGTATAAATTGATGTCAGAACAAATACATTTGTGAAAGGATTTAAATCAGTGTAATGATTTAAATCACTATGGAACTAAATTTATCATATTATAAAAAAAATATATAAACTTTTCTTTTATCTTTATCTCTAACTATACAGATGTTCGTTATCAATTTTGGATGGCAACATTCATATCTCCTTCTCTCAGCAATTTCGTACCATCTGGTTCTGTGCGGAGTGATATACAGAGCACCAAAAATAAGTTCTAATGAAGAATCTGAAGAACTTTCTCTTCTGGTGGTGGAGCAAGAAAATAATTCTCTCCAGCCTGATTTACAAATCACTCCAACAGATGAAAAAAGGTGTTCTAGTTGGTTGGGGTACATTTACGAAATATGTCATTTGCGTTTGTTCAAAAGCAACGCGTTTGTTGTTCTTGTTTTCGTTTCATTATTACATGGAGCAGTTGAGGAAGGTGTTGTGATGATTATACCGGATGATATGCTGGAGCGAGGCTCCACTCTACGCGCTAGTCAGCTAACTTTAACAGTTTACGGAGCAAGTAGTCTCATTGGAAGACCTGTTCACTATCTTTTTAGCAAATTTATTTCAAATGATTTATTTATCCATCTAGCAACTATCTATTTTCTTGCGTTTCTGGCTTTACTAATCTGCGTTACAACAGTAGATGATGACGCTATTTATGTGGCGATGGTTTTCATTGGGTTTTCTGTCGGTTGGTTTAGTGCAATCCAACCACTTATAGTGAAATCTGTGGCAAATGATTTCTTCTTTGGATTTGCTTGGGTTGATCTTTTATACGGCGTTGGTGCATGCATTGGAATTATATTTCTTGGTAAGTGATGGCACAGGCATAACAGACATTTTGTCGTTTTTCTTTCATGTAATGAGTTACAGTATACACCTGACTTACAAAGCGATACTATGATTTATTTAAGAAATTTTAACAGCATACCGTACAATTGTTTACCAATGCAATAGGCATACTGTAAAGTTTTTTTTAATTGTTTATATATTGAACTAAAAATATTTTATTTTCCTTTTGCAGGCTGTCTTCGTGACAAAGTCGGGAATTTTTGGTTATCCCAGTTTTCATTGTTATGTCTGGCGATAATTAATACAGTCCTACTTTTTGGTTTCGTTGTGTATAGAAAGATGAAAAAAACATGCTGAGATATTTTATTTTTTGGTAGATTTTCCGTCGATACTACGATGGAGCTGGACTTAACAAGACTGCTTGATTTGAACAAGACGTCCCTTCATATCATATTTGTGAAAATAGCTATAACTGATATTGAATTTAGAATGGTCGTGACCAGAATAACTCTGACTTTAGATATAGAATAATTGAAATAATGTTAATTATAGAAAGTAGACATACGGTATTGCCTAGCGTCCTGGTTCTTAATAGGCGGTCCGGGCTTCGCGGGTTTACTTCCTGCTTCAAAGCATACTTCGTTGGTAGGGCGGATCACTTGTTCTCTACAACATGGTCTTTCTTCAGATGTTCTTCGCCGACGCTTGATCGGGACCGGCTCGACCAGATTTAACAGTGTTTGGACGTTTTGTGACGACGTTGGTAAATGTGTTTGAATGAAATTAAGATTTTATTTGTTTTGTTGTGATGATTTATCCTACAATAAAATAAAATGCAGGCTTAAGCCTAGATGCTGTTTTGATTCTCGTGATAAATGAATGCTAGTTTTAGGAGGGAATTGCTGCATGTATTTGACGTAGGCTTCATACACAGTACAACGTCGTCTTCAAGTGTGGTCCGTCAAAAATGACGAGAGGAGTCGAGTGAAAAGAGTACAAATATTTATTTATTTTACCTATATTTGACTGTACCAAGTTAAATTACTTTTATTATAATAAAACTGTAAAATTATACATAAACACAAACCAATTCGGGGATTCCCCAAGTGCGTTTATTTGCCGTCCGATTCGATCGTGTGTTCTTCAGTAATGGCTTTTAAAAGAATAGAAATTCCTGTTTTTACAAATACACTTACAATTTTGGAAAGATTTTATTTTCGTAAACCACGAATTTATGGGTACAATCATATACAGTCTAAATCCTGCTGAAACTCAAAATACAAAAACTGCCGACAACTGCCGAGGAGTGTCAAATTTACGTCGGCAATTTTTGCCATGGTCCTTTCGTACCAATTTCGAGAATTAGTGAATGTCACACAGTTTGTATATCAACATAATAACAACCAAACTAATAAATTTAGCTTTTTATTGTAGTCGATAACATGAAAAACAACCAGGCAATTTACAATGTGACGTGATGATGATCGCCGAATTGCGTTTTGTTTACTATTATCGAAGGCTTAGGCCGTGTGCCCCTACATCAAATTTCAGCTTCGTGTACGTTACATTGGTAAGGTCTCACTACAAAATGAGTCTCATCGTTAGAAAATCAAAAAATGAGTTTATATTATATTTTGATAGATCACATTATAAGCTTTAATTTGGTCTTTGAATAGCTTCCCTAGGATAAATAGATCCAGAAGTGTTAGCATTTAAATTTAGGTGTATGAGAACCAGATTTTGTGAAAATCGGCCTCAAAGATAAACTAACCTGTACAAATTATAGTACTAGAATTATAGAATATGCGCACACTGTTTTAGTAAGAAAATTCACTTAAAAAGTGCAAAATAATAAAATATAAGTATCAAGTTATTCAAAGACATTAAAATCAAAATTTTGTAAAAATGTTGCCTTTGACCTATTTTGGTGAATATCTCAATATGATTTCACCAACGATGCGTGTCATTTCGTGGTGAGACCTGTAAAGATTTTGCAAAATAAGCTTTAATAGCTAATTTAGACGTAAACAATAATAGTAACCATCGTACGCTGACGAGTGTTCGTGCTGTTACTCTGCTTAGGCCTAGCCCGTCGGGCCTAGAGTAGGACAGTATAGTGTAGTGCTCAACATTCGTTAGTGTTGCCCAATCGATTTTGTTTTTTTAACAAAGCCTGGTCATCATTTCTGATGATGTCGTTAGTGTTGCCCAATCGATTTTGTTTTTCTAACAAACATTCCTGATGATATAATTAATGTCGAAATATTGAATCCCGACACGATGGCGCATTTCGATACTTGGAGTATGTATTATACTATCTTAAGCCTGGTTTTCAATTGTTTTTTCTTCAAATTCGCTTTCTAGTGGCTCAAAATGATAAAGCTACTCCATTTCTTTGCTTCCTTCTTCAGATCAGTACTTTAGTTCCCAACTGAACCTCTTTCATATGTCGCGCTATACGATGTTTGTATTACATAAACAGGATGGCTGTAACTGTTATACCGAGTATACGTCATCAGCTCTACTCGCACTTCAGTCAACATCTCCAGTGGGCGGGGCTTATACTAATATTTTAAACCGTCATTTTTAATATTTATAAACCAAAAATTAAATATTTTATTATTACTCATTTGTTAAAGATATATAATACTTCAATAATCAGCAACTTAAAAAGCATCATCAGGCCAACTTTTTTATGTGAATCAGAATTTAACAATAGGTTATAGATTTGAACATATTGCAAACAACGGTTTTTCTGTTATAAATGAACATTTATGTGGCCAATAAATAGGGACCATGCCCCCTTTTAAAATTTGATACTAAACTTTAGTGCTACTTTAAACACTAGCTAGTGTTATAAATGAACATATGTGATAAGGGAATAAATTGCAGAAATCATACCATGGTCACGTCTCCTTCATATTCAAATTAAAGTGCTACAGTGTTACGTCACGATACCACGTGATACTACTCCGTTGCTATCGTTGTAAAAAAAAAGAGTTCAACCGGACGCCATTTTCTTCACTGACAAACCATTGATCCCAATTTCATACGTAATTATTAAGATGTTACTTTTTCTTTGTAAATTTTAAATGATTAAATGTGTGTTCGATAACTAATATAATTCGAGCTTTTGTGTTTTAGTACATTTTGATGGTAAAATATTAGATTTTAAAATGCCTATTCCAGAAAGCCTATGAAGTCATTCAGGCGCAATGAACGGTGACCTACGTCAGTCGACAACAGAGAGCGCCACCTAGCGTCGTAACGACACGACTGTGGTACTATATAGAAGTTTAAGATTTGTTTTACTGAATCTTAGCTCATAATAATAAATTATGATATCGTAAGTCTATCACAAAACTTGTAAAACACCGACATTTCTGATCATTACTGACGAACCTAATGTATGTCCGACAGTAAAGTCATGTAAGAGGCCTAAATTATTGACACGAGAAGTATTTTACAAAGTCTGATAAAAAGTAATTATCAATTTTGTCATTTTCCACAATTTTACTAATTCTATTTATGTTGCAGCTAAAACAATCTTACGAAGAACGGTTCTTTTGTACCAAGAACAGTTCTTTGGCGCTTTCGGCACGGTATTGATTCCGTGCCGAAGAACCATTCTTTGGGACAACAAAAACAACCGTTCGTTTTTGTGGGCCCTGTTTCTACTGCTACAAAGAACGGTTCTTTCTCGTCAGTAGAAGCAGGATAGTTTTGGCAGTAATCTCAAAATTTTCCCCTTTGAATAAGGACTACATAAAAATAAAAATAGTGAAATTAGTGAAGATATGTATACATTCTCCATATTGATTACAAATTGTGTAGGACATTCAAACTTAAATATATCATATGGTTTTGGCAAACCACCTAAACTAAAAGAAATCCTTCAAATAAAGAATACGATACATTATATACCGGTAGTGACTTGAATGCATTAAAAAAATGATGATGGTATGAATATACACACCAAAATAATACACAACATACAGCAATATGATGTTTTGTGTATATAATGCTCTAATGAGTAGGCCCAATACTGATAGTTACTGATGGTTTTTGGTAGGACGATCTTGTTAGTAATATTTTAATGGAGGTTTAGGTATCAGAACGAGCCCAGGACTTGATGTGTGAATACCAAGAAATGGTTTATTAAATAAATAACTGCATACAGTAACTGTGAATCCAGTCTAATGCTCTTGAAATAAAACGATCTTATATTTAATATATAACGATATTATATATATATAATCATTTCTTAATTTCCCTCTAACTAGTGATAGGCCTATTTAGGACCACTTTAGTGCCGGTTTCTAATTAGAGGGATTCTAATTAGAGACCAAAGCTGCTAAAGACCACCAAAAACCCTGGTCCCAAAAGTGGTCTTTAACATAATATACTTTTATGTTTCGTTAAATTTTACTCACGGTACCATACCTGAACGCAATTTGTTTTGTTCCATTTTTACTTATATCGCCACAAAACACTCACACATAAAGAATGGTATAATGTCAATCACTACGGTAGTAATTATAATATAAGGATGTTAAAATAACTTTTTGTTTTCAACCATAATCGGTAAATTACTTTACTTGACAAGTGAATTTTAGAATTAAAAAATGATGATGATAATGATGATGATGATGATGATGATGATGATGATGATGATGATGATGATGATAATATAGACGACGACGATAATAACGCCAGATTTAAAAGCCATTATGACAAGCAACATTTCGACCAGGTTAACTATCAATTTCTTTATAAAAAATCGCTACATCAATCTTTTTTAATTATATTTTCATACATTTTCATAGTATTTATATTTTTTGTACTTGTTTTTGTTAATATTATGCATAGGCCTATGCATATTCAAATTTAATCAATTAATTCAGGCCTAAATAAGATGTATTAGCATATCCCTCCGTCTTTCTTTTTTTTAGAGAGAAAATAAAAATAAATATTTATATACTGTAGTTATATTTTTAAAATTATGATTATGATTCTTTAAAAGAATGCTTAAGATTAATATTCACCTCATCTCTTTCATAGACTATCTGGCTTCAAACTTTTTCCACTTCGGTACTCAGCAAAATTACGCAAATTGGTGGTAGGGGAAATATGTTTTATACCGTATAAGCTTCAATTTCTGTCAAAATATTTAAAAAAAACGAAACAAAAAACAAAAAACCACATACACAAATTTTCAACACTAAAATTGCAGAATAAGTCAAACCCGCCAGCAAGCATGGTTTAAAAAACAAACTGTAGACATGTCAGACACAGTCAGGGACTAACCCCATAGTCCTGCTAAATTATACGTGGGTAACAGACTCCAATTGGTTAAAAGCTAATATGTTTTCAAAAGCATTTTACAACAAAGATAAGGAAGAGGTCAAAAGATCAAAATCTGAAACCTACTACTCAAGCGTAGAACAAAATAATGGAATTACAGTAACCGACGTGCAGTGTCCCGTATCTTTTTATATGTAGACCTATTGTATGGAAGGTAAATCCAGAAAAGTGCGATGACTTATTTCCGAGGTCGATCTGTAAACCGAAATGAACAAAGTATTCCAATAGAAACACTCCCATTGTAGCCTACGTCAGAAATACAAATTGATTTCTTTATTTTTAAAGCTTCACTACAGCGGTAAACGAGGAGAGCAATATCATTACGTTTTAAAGTATTTATAGGACTAGCTCCACATTTTCACCCTGTTGGTAACATTCTACATTACTTTGCCAGAGTTGTATCATACCTATGCTATATCGCATTACACAATGGGTTCAGAGCTGGATGTTGGATATGCGTGGGTTGTCGCCATTGCAAGTTGGACAGCAACTCTTATATATTTAGTGGTAACGACAAGTGGGATTTATTATCCTTATTTGATTGACTATTACGAAGAAAGTGCAGCAAAGGTTGGATTCGCACTTGCACTTATTCCTACACTCAAATTTCTTTTTGGTACGTTTGCAATGGTGTAAATTCTTACAGACAGCACTTGTCCGTGAATTTGTGAAAAAGATCGGAGATCTAAAGAGTGCAATCTTTACCGTGCATCAATGGCGGCCTGCTGGATCTCAATAGGAATTATTTAATAATAATATAAATTTAAATAGGCAAATGGGAAAACCCCATTAAAACAACTTATATATTGTATATGTATAGCATTCACACCTGGGCTGTGTATATATATTGCCTTGGTTTGGCTCTGGAATCATTAGTGGTCGTTTCAATAGTCTGGTTCTGCATAAACTGGTCGAGCGTTTCGTTTGGGTCTGTACCCTAGCTGCAATAATGAGTCAATTTTTCCAGAAACCCAGTTTGCCGAATGCCATTTTACCGTTATTAAATTCCAGTTTGCCGAATATCAATAATATACAAATTACAATATAGAAAATATTGTTCCCAAAGTTGACAAAATAATACACTTGTTTATTGAGAAATTTAAACAAATTTAAAATTGTTCAACATAATCCTAAAGTGTCCGAGATAAATAAAGCATGTTTCTTGGTCAAAGGATATACTAAAGTCCCAAAGCACAATTCTATAAATATTTCAGCTTAGTAGGAAAATCTGGGGAATAAGCTTTAAAATATGTTTTAATCGATTAATTAATATTTTGTCTTTTTGTATTATAATATTAACATATAATTCCACTGTATAATCATATGTGCTATCTCGTCTAGGTGTGTTTATTGCAATCATCGCCAAAGCATACGGCTGCCGAATTGTTACTATTCTCGGAAGTTTTATGGTGATGAGTGGCTGTCTTTTAATGGCATACTCAACGAGTATTACTGCGGTTTTCCTGGCTTGTAGCCTTATTGGTGGGTACAAGTTAGAAAATATGTTGAAGATGTACAAAATATATATAAGGTGTATAAATTAAACTGTCTTTTTATTATAGTGTTACTATTTTATTTACTTTTCTTTAGAAAAAACTTAAACCACTTATTCGTGTCCAGAATGCAGCTGCTAGGCTTGTAACTAGAACACGTAAATACGATCATATTACTGACGTATACATTATACTTCATTGGTTACCGATTCCACAAAGGATTGAATTTAAATTGCTAATAATGGTTTATAAATCACTACATGGTGTAGCACCACAATATTTATCTGAACTAATTGAATGGCACACTCCAAAACGAAACCTTCGATCGGGATTTCAGTTTTTTGCAAAGGTAAAATCTGTTAAAGTACTGCGATCGGATGGTAAAAGTAGCATTTACAAGACCGTGCTTTTGAGAATATTGGTCCTCGGCTTTTCAACACTTTACCCCTTTATATTAGATCTTGTTCTACCATTGATGTTTTCAAGTCTCATTTGAAAACACATTTATTTAAAAAGAGATTTAATGTTTAACTTTCTGTAGGTCAGGTATATTCAACTTGTAGTACAGCTTCATGAAACTTGATGTACAACTGTATATTCTTGCATTTTAAAAGCTCTTTATTTTAAATTTAAGACACATGATGTACTGTATATTCTTGCATTTTAATTGCTTTTTATTTTAAATCTCCAAGACACATGATGTACTGTAGTTTTTTTTTCGGCATTTTTAACCTTTTGATGTAAATTTTGACGGTTTGGTAGACTTGTCTTGTCTTTTTCTTTTACAAAATACAAAAAAATTCAGTGTTTTATCGTTCTATTTCATGTCGCGTTTTCTTTTATTTCAATGTAGATTTTTGATGTGTTAGGCTAAATGGTATTGTGATTTTTGTGATGATTATTGGTTTCAAACATTTCTATTAGCTTTTAATGTATATTTCTTATATGTTTAAAGTGTATGTTGGTCTATGAATATTTTTAAATTCTGTACATCGCCGATGAACATTTTTAATGGATATTGTTTTGCGCTTTATTAAATGAAGTTATTATTATTATTATTATTATTATTATTATTATTATAAAAAAATAGTTATTTATCTTTAAATTTTATTAACATCATCTTTCATGTTTTTTTCTCTCTTCTGCAGGTATTGGAATATGTGTAAACTATTTCGTAGCTTACTTCACCTTAGATGTTTACTTTAAAAAATATTTCACTTTAGTGATATCTATAAAAGCAGCAATAAACGGTGCAGCGCTTATGATGGCACCGTATGTCAATCGGGTAGGTCTAAATATTCTGCAATTTTGAATAAAGAGTATAAATTGATGTCAGAACAAATACTTTTGTGCTAGGATTTAAATCACTATGAAACTAAATTTATCATTAGTATAAAAATAATAAAATCATTTCTTTTTTTCTTTTTAACTATACAGATGTTCGTTATCAATTTTGGATGGCAACATTCATATCTCCTTCTCTCGGCAATATCGTACCATCTAGTTCTGTGCGGAGTGATATACAGAGCGCCAAAAATAAGTTCTAATGAAGAATCTGAAGAACTTTCTCTTCTGGTGGTGGAGCAAGAAAATAATTCTCCCCAGCCTGATTTACAAATCACTCCAGCAGATGAAAAATGGTGTCCTAGTTGGTTGAGGTACATTTACGAAATATGTCATTTGCGTTTGTTTAAAAGCAACGCGTTTGTTGTTCTTGCTTTCGTTTCATTATTACATGGAGCAGTTGAGGAAGGTGTTGATATGATTATACCGGATGATATGCTGGAGCGAGGCGCCACTCTACGCGCCAGTCAGTTAATTTTAACAGTTTACGGAGCAGGTAGTATCATTGGAAGACCTGTTCACTATCTTTTTAGCAAATTAGTTTCAAATGATTTATTTATCCATCTAGCAACTATCTATTTTCTTGCGTTTCTGGCTTTATTAATTTGCATTACAACAACAGATGGCGATCCGGTTTATTTGACAATGGTTTTGTTTGGGTTTTCTGTCGGTTGGTTTAGTGCAATACAACCACTTATAGTGAAATCTGTGGTAGATGATTTTTTCTTTGGATTTGCTTGGGTTGATCTTCTTTATGGCGTTGGTGCATTCATTGGAATTATATTTCTTGGTAAGTAATGGCATAACAGACATTTCGTAGTTTTTCTTCCCTGTAATGAATTACAGTGTACTACTGACTTACAGAACGATACTATTATTTTAACTCCATACCGTTCCATAGCTTACCAATGCAAAAGGCATACCGTAAAGTTTATAAGTTGAACTAAATATATTTTATTCTTCTTTTGCAGGCTATCTTCGTGACCAAGTTGGGAATTTTTGGTTATCCGAGTTTTTATTGTTATGTTTGGCAATGATTAATTCAGTGCTACTTTTTGGTTTCGTTGTGTATAGAAGGATGAAAAAAATATGCTGAGATATCTTATATTTTTGTAGATTTTCCGTCGATACTACAATGGAGTTGGACAAGGCATCCCTTCACAGAAAACTTGTGAAAATAGCCATAACTGTTTAATTCCTTAGTTAGACCGCAAGTTGAAACTTGTACATTTATTTTTAACAGCATCAGTTCAACACAAGCCTCTAAAATTGACATTATTCAACGCCGCTTCGTTAAATTTGTTTCAAGGGTGTAATGTTCCAAAAAGTTCTATTAATCTTCCTTCACTTAAAAGTCGACGTAATTTCCTGGATTTAACATTTTCATTTAAATGTGTTAATGGTATCTATGGTAATTACTTAACATCTTTATTTGGTATTTCTGTTAAACCCCGTAGGTGCCGTAATACCCTTACTGAATTTTTCACAATTTCTTTTGCCAGAGTCAATGTTACGAAAAATGGTTTAATCAAGATTACCTAGATTATATAACAATCTTAGCAAAGAAGATAATTCCATAGATGTATTTTATAATAGTGTAGAAGTATATAAAAAGAAGATCAAATGTATTTTACATATACTAGAGTAATTTTTGTTATCTTTATTGTGACTATTTAAATTATTTGTATCTGTTTATTTGTATCAGTTTTTTGTTTCCATTCTGTAAGTGGCGGGACACCGCTGTTGAATGCGAATTAAAATAAAATAAAAAAATAAAATAACTGATATTGACTTTATGGTCGTGACAAGACTAAATGACTTTAGACTGATAGAAAATTGAAATACCGTACTCGCGCGAATAAGCGCCCGGGCGCTTAAAATATTTTTTTGCACTTTCTCAGGGGCGTTTATTCAAACGGGGCGCTTATTCGAACGGGGCGCTTATGAAAACAAGAGTGGAAATTGATGGGGCGCTTATGGAAATAGATTAAAATCGAGGGGTTCTTTTGGGAAATTATTAAATTTAAGAGGCTTTTTTTGAATGAAAAAAGATTATTTAAGGACATTACGAATGGTGCTTGAGGCGGAAAAATAGCCTAATCATCCAGAGAACATGGCTCATGACAAGAATGCGTGAATATCATAATAGCAAAATAGTAGATGCAATTAGTGGTGGTGGGTAGTGGTTAGCCTGTTGGCCATCGGCAGATTGAGATTAGCAGGATGGCAGGACCATTGTATTTTTTATTGAAAACTTAGATGAGAATGTGCTAAAGGTCGGAAAGAGGAGTAGAACTAGGCATAGACATATGTAAAAAGAGTAAAGTTGGAAATATACTGTCTGTCCAGGGATCGGAGCTCTCATCTGTCCAAGAGAAATATCCTCATTTTGATATTGACCTAAGAAGAATGTGTTTCTACTCTGCAGCTCAAATCATGCCAACAACCACAGTCCCAGGATTGATTGGATTATTGACTTGCTAAAAAGAAAATCTTATGAAATTATTTCTAGATGCTCGGATATGCACTTTCCTGCATTCTCAGGGGTATTTTAAAGACTTTCGATTTCTTAAAATTTATGAAATTTTCACCAATGTTCGTAAGCCAGCTTAATTTCCATACGTTATTCTTACCTGTATTGTAAACTATATTTTCCAAATAAATGTGTGGCATAGCTGAATAAGGGGTTACTTCTTCAGACTCGGGATAGGGTTATTTGCTGTCTAGTGGTTGGCCTATAGCAGACCCAATGCACTAGGCAAAGGCAGAAGCTACTGCTACATCGAAGTAGCCGGTAAGTTGTCTGCGTACATTCACTTGTGAAAGTAGCCCTTTCTGTTGATGATTCCCCTTCTCGAAGCCACACACCATACCTTACTATGCTCGTTTCAGTTAGTGACTACTCATGAGTAAGACAGCGGTGTCTATCTGATGGCCAATTGTCAAAGAAAGATGACTAACATGAATAATAATGTAATATATTTTATATTGTATTATATTTTATATTGACTTAAATGATGACTAGGGGTGGCGTCAGCGGAGGAGGGGCGATGGGCCTGGCCCCCTGTTGGGGACAGCTGCCACCCGACCCACACCTTCGGAGAGAAAAAAAATGTATATAAATTTTCTACATATTAGCAGAGCCCAAAATCGATTAAATATAAGCCTTTGAAACCCATAAATTGTCATACTTTTCCGGGGCTTCGTCCCCTGGAACATTTTAGAGGAAATTTAGAGTGACGCCCGAACACACCTACTTTTTTTAGTCGGCGGGGACATCGGACCTCCGGTCGAGCAAATCCGGGCGCCACCAATGATGATGATACTGTAATAAGCACCACTTACTACCATGGAAGATTTTAGTTCTACATTTAATCAACCTAGCTTAAATCTGGACTTTTCAATAATTGGGTTGAATTGTCGAAGCATAATACACAAATTTGATATGTTTTCTAACTGTATTGAATCAATCATTGGAACAATGTCTTAAATGCTAATGATGCAAACACTGCTTAGTAAAACTTCACGAACACTTAAAACCTGTATATGATACAGATGTATTTTACATTAATAAGGACATCAATCGAGCTTTGCTAACTAAAAAACCAAGGGCTCTCGGTTCTCTATCTGGTTCAGCGCAAACAAACTTACATTAAATGTAAATAAATCCAAGTACGGTATATGTCATGATTGTTTCTTGATGAAACGCTGATATTCCAATTCTCAAATTAAGTCAATAGCAATACAGTAAAGGCTTCTAAAGTGATTAGTGTCCTCAATAAGGTGAAATCAACGTTACTACGCAATGTTAAGCGCCTCGAGTTGTGTCAACGTGAGGCGCTATATAAATCCAGAATTATAATTATTATTATTATTACTACCACGTGCAATTCTATTAACTTTATATAATGCACATACTACCTGGTTTAAGTTACGCAATCACATTTGGGGATCTACATCTGCTTTCAACCTAAATCGCCTACACATTCTACAGAAAAAGCTCTAAGAAACTAGAAATTGCAAATTGCAAGTGAACAAAACTATTTATGCGAGTCAAGTGAAAATAATGAATAATAAAAATATAACAAATAATATGAGACACGACCCCTTGTCTATATTAGAACAGCGTTGGTACCATGTATGCCAGTCTATAACAAGCGTCGCCTAAATGTAATAATTAGCACGCTGAAATAGGCTAGTAAATAAGTTTAACTGGGTTCGTAAATAATATTGGCCTCAAAATATTGTGGCTGAGACATGGGCCGATTAAACGTAGAAATAGTAAACCTAGAAATATAGTAAAAACGCTGAATAGTAATACTCCAGCGTCGCGACATGCAGACGTTGGTACGACTAGGTTAGTATACAAATATCGCCTAAAGTAATTGATTTTACCCGGCAGAACGAAAGAAGGAAACTCCGCTTTTCAGTCGTCTTAGGCCCTTGTTTTTTGACAAACAATGAACTTTCAGAGGTCAAATTGCTGTCAAGAATATGAATTGGCTGCTTTGCAGCAATTAGTGTCTTATTCTTTTGGCCTACCACACTTATTCCCGAGTCCTTATATATACGTTTAATGCTAAAAGGTCAGACGAAGCGCTTTTGTTGCAACTAAAAAGCGATCATTGTCAACAATAAATTGGATTTTCCAAAGAATTGACCAAAAAAGCACAATCATCAGCAAATAGTAAATCACGCAGTAATTCATCTTTGGAGATTAAAGAGCTCACCGCTTGAACCTTTGGTCAAATGCTTGCTGTATAATCGAATATGCCATCATTTTAATCATGGCGGCGCTGTTGTTTACGCGTACGTGAGTTCCTATATATAGAGAGAAATGCGATATGAGCCGCTTATGGGTCCTTTTATGCATGAATGAACACAACGCCCATTCTGCAGTGTGGGGATTGCATAAATAACATGCAATTGAAAAAAAATAAATAAAAATATTAATAAGAAAATTTTATGTCATTTGATAGTAAATATCTGTTAATTAACGAGTGTTTGAAGTTTATAACAAAATCCAAAAAGAAATTGATTCTCAATAGGCTATAAATAATTATGACATTAGGCCTCCATGTCATTTTTGCTTGACCACATCGTAGCGCCTTAGTTAGCTAGAATTACAACATCGTGTTTGTTCGGCTCCAAAAATAGTAGGCTAGTAGGCCTAGGCCTCTTAAGCACACGACAACTTCGAAAAATTCGTAAGGGCCTATAATAAGTGGGTGTTTGTAGAAGCCTATAGGTAGGGGCCCAGTCCAGGGTATTTCCAAAATAACTTAGTATAGGCCTATAATAAAAGAAATTCGTAAGTCATACGGTAACTTAAACAGTGCTTACTACTACTAGCCAGGCAGGCTCTTCTCTTTCCATCTTGAATTCAAAGGTAAAAAAAATGTCAAATTTATTGATGAAATAGTCTTATTTATAATCGATTTATTAACACTTTGAATGCTAAGCCTGCATGACTTATAACCAACGAAAATTTACTTAGGCTTGACCTACGTTAATGACTCACTTATCGTGTTATGACACTAATGGCGCACCATACATAATAGCGTAACACACTCGGCGGACGCAATGATCGAACACCCTATGACACCTCACAAGCGGCACATGTCGCCTCTCTCTCACTTTGATAATTGTTTTGCTGTTTTTTCTTGACTCGTTTTGTCTTTAATTGTAGGCCTATATCGACTATATTACTATTTTGTTTAGTGATGTCAATAAAAGAATGTCTGTGTTCAAAGAATTTATAACTAAGAACTATGGCCGCATTGCTTTCACCTAGGTAGGCCTACTCAGCAAAAGATTCAAAATAGGTGGCGAGGGGAAAAAAAGTTTATCCCGTACGGCTTAAATTTCTGTGAAAATCGAAAAAAAAAAGCCACCCCATGCACATCTGTATGTCCAGCGTTAAAAGAGAGATATAAGTCATACAACCAGCAAGCATGGTTTTCGAGCTTATTTGCTTACAAAAAAAAAAAAAAAAAAAAAAAAAAAATCTGTAGACATGTCAAACACATTTAAGACTGACCTGCTAAACAGGAAATGAAAACGTACTTGACAGACTCCAATTGGTTTAAAATTAATGATTCAAATAAATTTTATACGGATTCAGGTCGCCTACCCCTCCCCCCCTTTTTTTTTTTTTTTTAAAGGAGAAAAAAGAAAATTATAAAAGAAAATTATGTTCAGATTTAATTTAAGAGAGTGCCATTTCCGGCAGTCTAGAGGTACTCATAATCATAAATTTTCTTACCTCAGTCTCAACCAAGGTTGGGGCTGGAGTGGTATAGAAACTTCCTCTATTTCGAATTCCTGGATCTGGTATTCAGGGTCACAGAAATTGGAAATTATAAGAACCTCTCAAGTGTAAAGGGGAATAATAGAATTGAGCGATGTGTATTGTTCGAATTTCATTTTTTTTTTTGTATTTATTGCATGCATGGATAATCCTGAAAAAAGTTCGACGGCTTACTTCCAATGCGGTCCTTCTTTCAGCCAAAGTGAACAAAATATTGTCTATTCAAACTCTGAATTGAAAATTGCTTTCTACACTGTTAAGAAATACTTCGTGGCGATCAATGAGGAGTGCATGCATATCATTATTACGTTTGAATGTATTCACACAAGTGATGAGGCTAGCTCCACATTTTTACCCTGCTGGTACATATACTACATTATTTTGCGGGAATTGAGTATCATACCTATGCTATACAGTATTACACCATGGGTTCAGAGCTGGATATTGGATATGCGTGGGTTGTCGCTACTGCAAGTTGGACAGCAACTGTGTTAATTTTGGTGCTAACGACAAGTGGGATTTATTACCCTTATTTGATTGACTACTACGAAGAAAGTGCAGCAAATGTTGGATTCGCACTTGCACTTATTCCTGCCCTCAAATACTTTCTTGGTACGTTTGGAATGGTTTATTTCATATCTCTTGAGAAGTGTGACTAGTGTTGCCAAATGTATTTTACTCATCAGGTTTGTGGTGAAGGGTGATGCCAAGAATTGGAGTGTAGGTTTTAAAGGCCAGAAGGAACATTATATTCAAACTAAAAAGAATATCTAAAATATACATGTTCCGATCTAGGTACAAATCTAAACTGATCAAATACAAATCTCAAGTGACAGGGTTACTGATCGGATCGAAAAATATGTTCTATAAGGATGATCATGAAATAATTCATGAAATTTTCCCAAACCTACGTTAAAAATATTTGCGGTGAATACGTCCAAAATACGTCAAACTTGAGGGCGCTATCCATTTTGATATAGGCGAGAACATCCAAAATGCGTATACTTGAGGGTAACCTTTATATAGGCGACACTACTGCAGGTTCATGAATAATTAAATAGCAATCGATATTTGAATATTCAGTCTGATCCTCCATGGTCTCACTCATTAGCACCACAAGGTTTAGAATTAAATTTAGGCGGTGTTTTTAAGGCAAAAATAATGGAAGAAAGCACGAATAGGACACCAACCTTAATCTGCATTTAAAAGCATTCTATAAACTCTAAAATAAGGTTTTGTCTAAATTATAGCTTCTTAATTTATAACATACACCCTCGTCTAGGTGTGCTTATTGCAATCATCGTCAAAGCATTCGGCTGCCGGATTGTTGTGATCCTCGCAAGTTTTATGGTGATGTGTGGCTGTCTTTTAATGGCATACTCAACGAGCATTACTGCGATTTTTCTGGCTTGCAGCCTTATTGGTGGGTACAAGTTAGAAAATATATTGTTGTAGATGTACAAAAAATATATACAAGGTGTATAAATTAAACTGTCTTTTTATTATATTGTTACTATTTTATTTACTTTTCTTTAGAATAAAAAAATAGTTATTTATCTTTAAATTTTATTAACATCATCTTTCATGTTTTTTCTCTCTTCTGCAGGTATTGGAATATGTGCAAACTATTTCGTAGCTTACTTCATCTTAGATGTTTACTTTAAAAAATATTTCACTTTAGTGATATCTATAAAAGCAGCAATAAACGGTGCAGCGCTTATGATGGCACCGTATATCAATCGGGTAGGTCTACATATTCTACAATTTTGAATAAAGAGTATAAATTGATGTCAGAACAAATACTTTTGTGCTAAGATTTAAATCACTATGAAACTAAATTTATCATTAGTATAAAAATAATGAAATCATTTCTTTTTTTTTCTTTTTAACTATACAGATGTTCGTTATCAATTTTGGATGGCAACATTCATATCTCCTTCTCTCGGCAATTTCGTACCATCTAGTTCTGTGCGGAGTGATATACAGAGCACCAAAAATAAGTTCTAATGAAGAATCTGAAGAACTTTCTCTTCTGGTGGTGGAGCAAGAAAATAATTCTCCCCAGCCTGATTTACAAATTATTCCAACAGATGAAAAAAGGTTTTCTGGTTGGTTGGGATACATTTACGAAATATGTCATTTGCGTTTGTTTAAATGCAACGCGTTTGTAGTTCTTGTTGTCGTTTCATTAATGCATGGAGTTATTCAGGAAGGCGTTGAAATGATTATACCGGACGATATGCTGGAGCGAGGCGCCACTCTACGCAGCAGTCAGCTAATTTTAACAGTTTACGGAGCAGGTAGTGTCATTGGAAGACCTGTTCACTATCTATTTAGCAATTTTTTTTCAAATGATTTATTTATCCATTCAGCAGTTATCTATTTTCTTGCGTTTCTGGCTTTATTAATTTGCATTACAACAACAGATGATGACGCTGTTTATGTGACAATGGTTTTCTTTGGGTTTTCTGTGGGTTGGTACAATACAATTCTACCACTTATAGTAAAATCTGTGGTAGATGATTTTTTCTTTGGATTAGCTTGGGTTAATTCTCTTTATGGCGTTAGTGCATGCATTGGAATTACGTTTCTTGGTAAGTGATAACATAGGCAACGGGCATTTTTTAAAGTTTTTGTTCCATATAAATTACAATTCATTGAAAATCTTTACATCAGCAATTAAACGCCACATAGAATACAAAATACAAAAATAAAATGACAAATGCATAAGACAATAAAGCATTATAAATATTCAAAAATATACACTAAACCATGAGAAGTGTCATCCATTTTGAGTGAATCCCTGATTCTCTAAGACAGTACAGTACTGATAAACAATTGCTTGTACTCTTCTCCAATCTACACATTAAATTATAGCATGTTTCTCTGTAATATTCATAGAAAGATGGCACATTATTCAAGACAAACATATGAATGGCGCATTACAGTGGCAAGGCAGACCAAGGATTTTGTTTAATGCATTATTACAACATAGCCTACATTAATAAGTTCTCTAATATTAATATTAATAGATGCCCCACCAAATATTACTACAGTACCGTACATAGTGTACAATACACCTGACTTAAAAAACAATACTGTTAATTTGAAAGCGTGCCAATGAAATAGGCCTACTGTAAAGTTTTAAATGCAAAATTGAACTAAAATATTTTATTTTCCTTTTGCAGGGTATCTTCGCGACGAAGTTGGGAATTTTTGGTTATCAGAGTTTGTATTGTTATGTATGACATTAATTAATGCAGTCCTACTTTTTGGTTTTATTGTGTATAGAAGAATGAAAGGAAAAACATGCTGAGATAACCAGACTTCTTTCTTCGGGCAAGGCATCCCTTCATAGAAGATTTTTGAAAATGTCTATTTTAGATACTTGCACGTGACCAGACTAACTATGACTTTAGATTGATAGAAAGATTGAAGTATGTTAATTATTGAAAGTAGACACATTGCCTAGGTACAGTGCCCCCTCTAATTCGAGACCATTTTTACTAAGAAGCAAATAGCAATTGTCAATTTCTTAACACAAAACTAACCCTCTAATTAAAAAACCAGACTCAGAGACCACCCCAAATTTCACTTCCTAAAGGTGGTCTCGAATTGGAGAGTGAACTATATTTAATATTATTTGCCTACTAAACTCTTGCTTAAAGATACTTTTAAAAAAATCGGAAAACCTAAATAATTAAATTAAAAATTTTAAATAGCCTATTTAAAATTAACTAATAAGTTATTAACTTCCAACTAAAAAACAGCTCAGACAAAATTGCCGATTTACTGATATGTTACTAAAAATTACCAGCCAATTAAAGGGTCTATTCCAAAGAATACAGCAAAGGTATTGTTATTAACTGTCTATTAATTGATGCGGTAATTTTTTTCTTATTCGAAGTTTCGATTGTATTTAAACAAATTAGCAATTCAAATACGAATTGTTCGAATTATTTAGTGCATGCAGACAGTGTATCATTAATTTATTGTTTATAGAGGAGTGAAATAATAAGTAGGCCTAGTAGAGTTATCATACACTAGTCGAAATAATTATACGAAGGTCAGATTAATGATTGAACAATTTTTAAGGGCCTGCAGAGCCTGAAGAATTTTTTTGACTCCATTAATTTAACCTAAGTATAATCTAGTGTATGGCTAAGAATTACTAATTGCTTTATAAGTCAATCGCCGTCTTTTAATGTTAGTTTTGATAATCAAGGTAATTCAACAAAAGGACGCACATCTCCGCTCTCGAACATAGCACGTGCGTACAGTCCTTTGATCTTTACTGTGGCATCGACAATCCGATACTAGTTGCGAGTACAGCCGTCAATTATTAGTCTATGCGTGCCATTCGTTTTATGGTGTTAGTTTTTATTTTATTAATTTTGGGTACTTCGCAATGCCTGTTACATTTGATTTTTTTTTACCGCGAGCTTGTTAAATGCTTCTATAAACTGCAATTTGATTTGTGAAAATTGACCAAGAAAATGAAAAGTTATAGCAATTCAAAACGAATTTTATAAAATTTCATGTTCTTATGTAACATTAATCTGTCATTTTGACAACGTTGGCATAAGGTGCCGAGGACGAACATTTGAGTATATACGGAACATTTATTAATTTTTTCTGCGAAGTGAGTCTCATGAACGACAATTCACCACAATTTTGGTAAAATTAATGTTGAAATGAAGAATATATTTCCTGTCTCTTATACACATCTATATCATTAGGCCTTTGTAATCACCGCACGACGCGCGACTAACATGGCAACTAACACGCGCGTGGGTAAATCGTCACGTACGCTGACGGTTTATGGTCTGGTTGCTATGGTTTTTGTGACGTTCAGCGCGTAGGGACGCACGTGCGCCTAGAATGTCGATGCCAGAGTTATAACCTTTGATGTCCCGAGATGTGCGTCCTTTTGTTGAATTACCTTGTGATAATCAACTGTTGTAGAAGTTATCGGTTGCTATAGTGATATGATCAGTATATCTGTTTTCCGTATTAAATTTAGCTGTGCGTAAGCAGATTGTAGCTGCTCTCTACGCGCTGGTTTCCGTAAAAATCTCTACACCTATCACCGACTCCTCTGGCGACGCTGATTGTTCAGTTGAATTAAGCCTGGTTTCCTTAAAATCACTACAGTGTTTGCAGTGCAGTCGATGCGTAGCAGCACCGACGCAATCGAGAAGTTCCCCGATTGCATCGGGGACTGCTACACAGTAGGCCTACAGCGATTGTAAGGAAACCTGGCTAACCAAGCTTCAGGAAGCGTTCCCGATCGCGTCGAGGACACTATGCAGTGGGAATTGCAGTGAAAACGCTGTAGCGATTGTGTAGCGATTTTTATGGGAACCAGGCTTACACACAGTACGGATATAATGAATGAATATTTGATTGTGTTTGAAGGAGTTTACTTTTTTTTAGAGTCAAATAACTGAAAGGTCCACTGCCTTAAGACTCGCAGCATCAATCCTGAGCAGGCTTGTCGTACCGCCTCGTCCCCATGTATAAAGGGTGACTTAAGTGTGGTTGATATACTTGGAGAACCGTTTGGATATACTGTATAGAGCACACATGTTACAAAAAATGGTATTGTATTTATTCAAATATAGTTTGTAACTCAAGATTGCGCACTCTTTCGTGTTTTACATTTCTACATGTAAAACAGGGGCGGATCCAGATATTTTTTGACTGGGGTGGGGGCACTATAGGGAGTCGATAACCAGGTCAGTCTCTCAGCCCATGGAAATTTAACGATAGGCACCTCTTAGACGCTCGGAAATAGCACTCTCAGACAGTTAAAATGATTTGAAAAAGCATTACTCGACAAAATAATTTACTTTTTCCCGATGCTCCCCCTCCCATAGACACCCCTCCACTCGGGGGCGTCGCAAATGTCTAATCGAGGACCTATAGTCTATTCTATGCTAAGAATTGCAAAGCTCTAAGCCTGAACCAACAGTCCAAGAGGAGAAATTGTTAGAGGTGTAGTGTGCCCGGATCGACCACTTGGTTCACATTATATAATAAAGGTTTAAGCCTAATAAGAGAAAAAATAGGAAATAACCACCAAATTTTAAAGACGTTTTAAAGCATGGTGCATTGATAGCTGTTCTACTTTGGCCTAGTACTACATTCTGTAATAATGGCTGAAAATCCCATCTTTGGTCTCCGTCGTTTGCCCTTTTTGACATCCAGAATTATTATTATTATTATTATCCTGATTTATGAAATCGTTGGACAAAAATCTGCGTCAGGGAAGCGTTGTGTTCGTCGTCATCAACAGAAAAATAAGTGGAAAAATAATTGAGCTCTCCTTTCGCCCACTGCTGGATCCGCCACTCAACTCTTTAACTCATTTTCCCTCTTTTTTTTTCTCGGTAGGACAGACGGGGGATGGGGAAGGCTCCCCTCCGCTGGATCCGCCCCTGTGAAATTCCACTTAACTTTCCATCTGGTAGAGGGCGCACTGGACGTTTCTATAAATATTTATAACATTTGATGAAAGTTGACTAAGTCATAACTGAATTGACTTTAGTCTACCATTGTAAATACCTGTTTCAGGTAGATCCAAACTTAGACCTAGGAAAAAGTTAGTCCGCTTCTGAAAAAACAGGCCTATATCTTTAGATCTTTGTATTTTGTAGAGGGCGGACTGACCATACGCTGGCGCTTACGATACGATACAACAAACTTTATTAAAATTTAAAGTTGAGTATATTTCATTACCTTTACAATCGATAACTCTATAAGCTTATTTTATTTACCTGAATGTCCATACACGCTATGGGCTGTTGCTTATCTTCCAGCCCTATTTCTCTTTTAATGTTAATTTATCTGTTTACTATTAATTTCTATTTCCTTATTGTATGCTTCTTTTTTATAGCGTACTTTATATCATCTGCCTTGCATTTAGGCCTATGTGACTCAAATCTGACATAGCCCTTTATATAGTTGCAATTCATAGGTCTATTATACAAATAAATAATAATAACAGTGCTCAGATAGGAACATAAGATGTTATTAGGCATATCGTATCAAGCATAGCACTTCAACGAAAAGTTTAGAAACCACTTTAGGTATAGGCTAGAAAGAGGGGAAGCAGGACGAGAAACACAAGATGACACTCACACACAAGTATCACTCACACATTTCAGAAATCAATCCACCAAATTTCCTTGACCAATAAGAGCCGTTTCCATCTAGGACCGCCTCTAATTCATCGTACAATCAACGACTTTCAACTGTATTTTAAATATAAGCCTTTTGAGAAATTTTAGTGTTTTCCCCGCCGCTTGCAAGCCAATGTTTCACCGCGTACAAACTCATTTTACTTCTAGGTTTCACTAAAATCATCTTTATTCTCGCTCATCTATACAGTAGGCGCGGATTGAGACCTTCGCACCGTTCGCCATGGCGAACGGTAGAGCAAGAAATATTATTGTACACAAAGAAACATAAAAAACAGTAGATTATTCTTCGATTGTCAATAAAACTCTGGATCCTCTAACCTATATCCACAGCTGCAGCAGCAGCGATAAAAGAATGTGATGATGACATTTTCCCTAATGTAGCTGTGCTTCTAGACTGTTCTGCACTATTCCCAATGGCGGTGCACCTCTCCCACCCCCTCCCCCACCCCAAGTTAGTCAAACACATTTAAAAATATAGAAAAGAAATTTATATCAAAATTTAAGTCTAAGAGTGCCATCTCCAGTCATCTAGAGGTGCCATAATCATAAATTGTTCTTACCTCAGCCCAAACCATGGTGGTGCTGAGGTGTTACAGACCCTCAATCTGTGAAAGCCCTTCTCTTGCCCTCTCCCCCGCTATTTCGAATTCCTAGATCCGCTACTGAAAGTGGCGGATTCAAGGAGGCCCAGCCGTCCTATCCCGCTTAAATTTAAAAAAAAAATGGGGGATAAACGATGAGTATGAGTGAAATTTCCAGCCATCTAGAGGTCCCATAATCATGGCGGGGCCGAGGGGGTATCTCCTCCATCTATGAAAGTACCTATCTGCCACCCCCTCCCCACACCCTTCAAATTATTTGACCCGCCACTGAAAATCCTGCTGGAAACAGTTTAATACTGTACAAATTGCACCTTCAGAAAGCGATTAAATAAGACCTCAAATTATCAAAAATGCCTAAGCTCCACACTCTCGACCCTAGCAAGATGTTTGCGCCTAGACGCCGCCTTCCCCACCGGATACATACAACTTCGCACCCACCCAATATTCGGTCCAATATAGTATTTACAACAACTTCGCACCCACTGCGCACAGAGACAATCGCAGGTCCCATGTGGCCATACCCAACCATCATACATTTACACTATGCCTACAAAAGTATTTACTATTATCGAACAATAATGTGCATTTACAGTCAGGCGTCGAATAAGCCGTCAGAGTCAACAGTGTTTGCAAATCACTCAAGCCACTCATCTATCAACAAGTCTCGGGCCTGCACATGCTAATCTTCCACTTCAGTGTCCTAGCCAATCTTCTGATCGGGAAATGTGGTGTTTTCCGTCGGTCAAGAAGTGGCAAGTAATTACAATGTAAAAGCCACCACGATACTTTATTGCCCTTAATTTATTTAGCAGTCCATTTGCCAGAAATTGTGTATACAAACATTCAAGGAAACAATGAAAAGAATCGCTTTAGCTTAGTTAGAATAAATCAGAATGAATTTATCTAAAGTAATTATTTCTAAAAAGCAACAATTTAGGAAAAGACGAAGTTATTGTGTCATAGTTTATGAATGAATTGAGGTAAGTAGCCATTAAAAGATAGAGAATTATCACAATCATATTTTTTAAAGGGAAGGACTTCAAATGTATGTGGATATGCATTTCGTAAACAATAGACAAGTACATTTAAGCAACCAACGATAGGTAGATAATAGCCTTTTTTCATCCACAATAAATAAGCTTTCGTAATTATTATTTTTTTATTATTATTTATTGTTTTACAGAATACCTAGAAAAGTACTTTAAGGTTCGTTTGAATGTGCAAAAATGTTAATTTAGTAGGTAAATCTTTACGTAGAAACATTGAAAAGTAGATGACAATGTTTCATTAATTTATAAAGGCCTATTTGTAGCGTTGTCATTTAGACGGTCATGTTCACAGTATGTTTAATTTGCTTAACACTATTTAAACCGGGTACCGGTATACGCACTCTGCATCATGAAGCGATAGCATAATTAAACGCACGTAACATTATACTTTACAAAAACGTCGAGTATAATTCAAAAAGATATGTAGGCTTGGTAGGTCTACGTAGGCCTATGTATAAATGGATAGAATTATACACTGGCCAATGTTTAGTCTGTTTTTTTTCAGCTTAATAACCTGAAGCGTTGCTCATTTGGTAGCTTCTATATTGAATATAATTATGTTTTTCAACCAATAGCTTTGGTTGAGAATGTTATTTTTCATTTTTTGTTAGCCGTCATTTTTTAATCCTTAAAATAAAACAAGTTTTCAAAAATTGTTGATCTAAGAATGAAAAATAATTAAAAAAAAGAATAAAACAACGCTTCACAAAAAAACTATATTTTATTATATTCTGCATACAAATACACAACAGATTAAGACGCTTTCAGCGACAACATTTGTTTACAGTGTACATCTATTAAAATACTACTTAGCATTTTACACGAGAAACTAGAAGATAATCAACAAGATATCTGTCTAGAATTATATGATTAATATTTGAACAAATCTCATTTTTTGCCTAAATTGATATCATTTATACATTATTAAAAATTGCTTATATTTTTGATCGTGTGATGATCGTTATTAAGATGAATAAATTTACCCATACACGCTTTACGTATTTCTCGATTTTTTGGATCTAAATAATTTTTTTTTTTTTTGTTGCCGTAGACAGAATCGAAAGCTGAAATGAATAATGAATATCAACTCTTCCATCCCCCCCCACACAAAATCCTTCTGTACCATATTAAGCATAAAAATTTAAGACTATAGATTATATTACAGCAAAGATAAATAAATAGCAGTCACATGATAATATACATAAATTACTTGCAATCTATGCCGCCTTACTTGATACTCTATTTCTGTAAATGAATTAAAAAGAACAATTCTCTCCATTCCAGATTTCATGAACAATTATTTGCATTGGAAGCAAAAATTGTTTTCTACAAATCACATACAAACAACGACTTTTTAAAAATTGAATATCATTTAAAATTGTTTGATTTCAAATTTTCAAACAAAAACCAAGATATCGGCTGATTATTACACGAACATAAAACAAGTATTAGCATATTTTTATTCCATTAGAAAAGCATCAATTAAAATAATTTTAAAAATTTTAAAATCTCCCGGAAGATTTTTTCATTAAACAAATTAGGCCGAATTTGAAAGTCTAATAGATTGTGATTAAATAAAATATTTTCGAGAATATATATATATATAACAAACATGGCATAACTATTGTAACTAACGTTTTGTATTCGTCATACAATATTAAACACGATATTACCTCATAATGTACATTTTTTAAAAATTAATTTATTATATTATACTTTCGCAAGAAATACAATTTGCTTTTTATAATAATTTATCATAAATTAGTTTACTAAAGATCGCTACTTCACAATCATGAAAACATAACCTTATTTACATAATTACACTTAGTAGTGAAACAGAAATTGTAGATTGAAGTTGAAATATTATTTTACTTAGAAAAATATCATATTCAATGTTAACATAATTTTTTCTCAAATTAATGTTAAAAAACATCATGTACATCAATAGGGCATTTTTATTTACTAATGCTTGTTAACTTGGAAGTAATTCGTTGATATAGGCCTACCAGTAATAATAATAATAACGAAATGTAACGAAATATCAATGGCATTTAAGCTTAACATTAATATTTCTCAAATCAATGTTAAAAAACAATAGGCCTATTAAGTACACCAAATGAGCATTTTTCTATATATTTTGTAATTCTTTGATATAACAAATACACGGGATGTAACAAAATATCCGTTATATTTAAAGTGGGTTTATTGTCTAAATAAATTTTTAACTTAATAAAATTAAAAAATGACTAACTTCTGTACAAACCGGTACAGCACTTTGCTGAAAATACTGAGGTACTGGTACCGAAGCCTTCAATTATGAAATAAGTTCACAAATAGGAGAGAGAGAGAGAGAGAGAGAGAGAAGGGGGGGGGGGTAGAGAGAATAAAAAAATGTAACGAAATATTTTTGTAGATTAATGCGGTTGTATTATGAATAAAAGCAAAAAAAAAACAACTTTAAATTTGCAATCAATTCATTCAGATAGATACCGGTAATTATTTAGTACGGTCAATTTGAGATTTAAATATGATCCACGATTTGTAGCTTGGTTAGAAGTATTTGAATTCTCACAATGTAAACAAAAATGTGTCTTTTCAACATAAAAAAGAACAAACTTAGCTAGTTTGTATGTTTGTGTATAGAGTGATCACATTATACATATCGTTATTTTTTATTCTTCCATACGATTCGATGATACGATAGCAGGAAAGATTATACAGTACCGCGAAAAACACTTTTTATGGATTGAAATATTATATGTTATGGATTTAAATAAATTGATAAGAGTCATTTTACGCTTTCTAGTTGGTGAATAGACTTATATGCTTTTTTTTAAACGGGAAATCGCCCAAAACAAGGCTAAGAACTACTCTGGGTTACGGGCTAGAAATGAAGCGCTCAGTGGAGGAAAAGAAAAGAATTCACATTCTGGAGTGCTATAGAAGTTACACCTCAAATATATAATTAATCATATGTATTATTAATCCCTTAGAAAATGTATACATTTATACAATAAATATTATTTTTGATTGTATTCGTTAAATATTTGAACTATATATTAAATAAACTATCAAATAAACATATTATGTTTCTATGGCAGAATTTAGATAGACATAACTTACCAAAATTATAGATTTATTGTTCTTTTCTCTTTTAAGAAAACAAAGATAGGCCTATGCTTACTTGAAAGCATTTGCCGTATTTGTCATTTCATCGCTGTGTTTATTATTTATTTTTACAAAATCTCACAAGACTCTTCTGTTTGAATAATAAACGATTCGGAGCAGTGACTTTTATTATCTTCAATGGACGATGTTTCGTGGAGTTTTCTTATGTGTTTTTTTAGATCAAAATTTCGACAAAATCCCTTGTTGCAAATAGTACAAGTAAATGGTTTCTTTTCGTTATGTGTATGCATATGAAATGTTAGATTGTAGGCCTGATGGAACGCTTTCTTGCAAACACTACACTTGTAAGCCTTCTCACCGCTATGTGTAAGTTTGTGATTCTTGTAGTTGCCTTTCTGATGAAAACCTTTGCCACAAAACTCGCAAACAAATGGTTTATAATTAGCATGAATTCGCATGTGGGTGTTTAATGTTGAGCTTCTATTAAATGCTTTCGAACATATACGACACTTGTGGGGTTTTTCGTTCGTGTGAATTATCTTGTGCCGACACAAAGTACTGGCTTGTCGAAATCCTTTGCCGCACGTTTTACAAATAAACGGTCTAGCTCCGGTATGTACGGGCATGTGTCTGGTCAAATTATAATGCGCGTTAAATACTTTGCCACAATCTGGACATGGAAAATGTTTTGATTTCTTTTCCTGCTTTTGCTCCTTTTCTTTTCTTTCTTCTATGACTCTTTTTCGTATTAAATTTTTCTCTTCATATGTATTTGCTACTTCAGAAAGACTTGGTAATGTAGACGAAGATGGCGATTCTGGAAAATACTTCGGAGTGGGCGTTTCTTGTAACGGAAACGAATTCAAATGTTGCATAGTAGCAAATCTTAGATCGTTGTAAGGCATCTTCATTTTCAACGAAATTTCTGCGTTTTGAAACTTTCTAGTCTGGTGCCCGAGTCCAAAATGTAACGCAAGCGGTTTTACTACTGACCGAGTCTTTCCACTTACAAAGACAGGTAGTGGACATGAGCCAAAACCCATACGATTCGCCGAGCCTAGGTGAGTGAAATCGCCTGCAGCACAATAATCGCCGCGATAAACACCATTCGAACCATTTATTCCTGGTCCGAAAGGGCTGGTATTCGTCGTCTGGTTTCTCGTCAATAAATTCGATAGAGAGTTGGACTTGATTTCACTGCATTTTTTCGTTTCTCCATTGATGATACGATCAATTGAAAACGATAACGTCGGTTTGTTTCTCACCCTTTCAAGAGACATACTGGTATCTCGTTGCGTAAATGTACCAAATGACTAAGTACACGTTGCGCAGTAATGGCGCAAGCTACATTCCCTGATTAGTTGCTGTCACGAACTGACCAATGCCGCTAGGAAATCTAAACAAAGTCGGGGTGGAAAATTTATAGATTATGAATATATTCACATAAATCGTTCATAAAAAATTAAAAGGACATTAGGCTTATATAAATTTAATTATAAGTAAAGCGGTTTTTACTTTTGAAGCTATCGGTATTTTAGCTTAGGCCTTCGTTCGGATCAAGGTAGACATTTTTTAGATGTATGTATGTAAAACTCGAAATTTGCAAAATGTTAAGCACAAAGCCACAACAAATCATGATATATTTAAACTTATATATGATTACAGGATTAAATGTTTATGGAGAAATATGAGTTGTAGCCTAATGAAAATGCCTACCTCTTATGAGAAGGCTGCGAGAAGTTTGTGCATTTACCACTTTGTAATATCTTGTAGACATTATTAAATGAATTCGCATTACATTTAAATTTGCTCTTGTACTTGTATGTTGTGTATAGGTCCTTATATTGTTTATATTTTTTTCTCAAAGGAAGCCATATAATTTTCATTGTTGGCGTAATATAGCGAATAAAAGAATGTTGATATTGATAGTTTTGTAGATTTGTACAATTGTTTATATAAATATAGAACTTATGAGCACAGAAAATAAAAACGACAAAGAAAAGAGAATGTTGTGGAATTGATTGTTATAGAAGATAACGAATTTACGGCAATGTTTCATAAAATTATGGTTAAAATACCGTATTCTTAAAATATATTTTATAAATTATATTTGTATCGAGATACTTCTCCGTCGCCATTCGGTTGCGATTGGGCGGAAGACAAACTATGTATTTATTATAGTATAAAGTAATCCACAAACTTAGCATGCTATAAAATGCTATAAAATGAAGTGTAATAGGGCCTCTAATAATTAGTATCATCTATTAGTATTCGTTATTAATTGGTTTATGCAAAAAATTAGTTGTAGTTATAATTATAGAAATAATTAATAATAAATAATAGTAATGATGAAATATATTACCGGTATTAATCAATAATATTAACAATTCCAACAATTATAATTGCAAACAAATTACTGATAAAAATAGTTAATATGCCTAACTTTATAGACATATAGCTAATAAACAAAGTAAGAAAATGATAAACGTACCTTCGAGAATTAAACGTTGAATGACTAAATCGCTGCAGTTTCTTGACCAACGGTGTTGTCCTCAGGATATTTCAAACGCGATTGAGACTGAAGTCTAGCCGCAAACGTATTGAACTTTGAAGTAGGCTTCTTTCAAATCAAAATATATATGATAGGCCTACTAAATTGAAAATGTAGACATTTGATACTGGCAAGTTATATCGTCATAAACTGTAATAGCCAATCACAAACCACGAAACCACTTTAATAATTAATGTGGCGAGTGTAACGCGTTATCGGAAATGTGCGCACAGTTATTCGTCAGAGCGATATTGGAGAAATCCAAATGAGAATGAAACTCATTGACCATTCTGCACATTTCTGACATCCGTTGATCATTTAGTCGAAGTGTTAGGTTAAAGTGTCTAATACAAAGTTGCTATTAATCCGTGCTATCTGAAAACAGTACTGAATTTACAGCAAATTGACTGGCAGTAAGTTGGTCATAGAGAGCTCAGTGGCGAACAATTGGATTTGCACTGTTGGTTTCAATGAAAGAACTTATAGAGTGGTATCCTTACAAACCGCAAACAATTAGCACAATTTAGGTCCATTCAGATGGATCGTTGGGGAGGAGCGTACGTTTCGGTTTGTTTACACATCTATAAAGTTGTCCCATCACTTTTGCACAACAGTGTGATCGGAAAATAGGTTTACTGAATGTAGTTGACGGGCCAAATTGTGACCAATTTGTTTGAGTGTAAAATCCGTGAAACAAATAAAGGAACTGAGTGAATGTCACCACAGGCTTCCTTAAGGACGGTTTAACTGGTACACAAGGGGATTGTAGCTCTTTTTAATGCAGTAGGCCATTAATAAGTTATGGTTATCTTGTGTAAAAAGGGGTGAACTTTTAACAAAGACAATAACAACTATCTAGAACAATGGTACACCAATCATTAGAGAAATAATGACACAATCACAATTAACAGCAATTAGAAGATTTAGATTTCTTTGCGCATTGTCAATGAAATATCGATATCAGCATGACATTATGCCGTCATTATTGCAATTAAGATTATAGAATTTGTTATATAAATCTGTATAAAGTTATAATCTTTCAAATAAAACATAGAACGAACATTATTGACCAAATTAACATACGCGTAACCATTCTATTCTATGCAGGAATATTATAAATTTTAATAATCAAATTAATTTGAGTTGAGTATAATTTTCATTCCACTGGTTCGTTAAATAGACTTCGTTGACAACGAAAATTAATGTAAACCAGAATGCGTTATCCACGTGACAAAAAACATACATGGCCGATTGGTCAGTTTAGAAACAACATTTGCGTTAATATAATTTAGATTAAATTTCAGATTATAATATTTACCCACTTGAAGTCAAAAATAATTGTAGGCTAACAGAATTAAAAACTGGATGAAAACATTTTTTTACGAAAGACCTATAATGCCACAAGCCGAAACAATCTTGATTACGTAGCGTGTATCGCGTTAACTATGCAGTCATAATTTTTGTTTTGTCGAGTATTTACCAGTTTTTATTCGACTGGTCGTCTTCGTTAAGTAGGATTTTACCACTAGCTGCGCAGGTAGGCGTGGTTTAACGACAGACGACCATCGAATACGGCCCTTGTTTCTATCCATTTTTCATTAGATGTTGATACCTTAAACTCTGTCTATATTATCAAATTTTCTTGGACATAAAAAAAAAGAAATAATAATAATAAAAGTAATAATAAAATTTGATTAAATCTGGACCTTACTCTAATTTTGAAGAATTTAAGCTATCTGCGCGCGAAAAACAATTTTAGCCAAGAAATAGATATCACAAATTTGTCAATTGAGCAAAAGACACCATATTTAAGTAAGTGATTTATATTTATCACTTTCTATGAAAGACAAACATAAACCAAATAATGTATTTAGGCCTATTTATTCAAATTTCTGCCATACACACCATTACAAACAAGATTGCCAAACAATAAAAACAAGGGAAGTAAAGGCCAAACAGTTCATAATATAGCTAGACCTGATTGAAAATTATGCTTGTCACGTATTTTTTTAAAGACAATTAAAATTACAAATATTGTGAACTATACAAATAATTATAAATACAATGCACAAAATGGAAGCCATTTGTTTATCAATTGATGCACACGCCGGTATCATACATTACTACGGAGCTTCCGATTTGTGCAACGACGACGCGACGCTAGAACTGAATCACTCATGCGTTACCGTCCTATCTGGCGTCCTACGTTCTCTGCATACGTAGATTTGGCCAAATTACGTTATCCAGAATCTACTCGACGAGGTGACCTTAACGTTCTCGCATGCGCAGATGACTCAGTTAGTGACGTCATTACGTTCTACGTCCTACCGTCGTCGTGCAATCGAAATCTCCCTATTGTTACTATCGGTTCTGCTTCATTGGCCTGAGGGGGCGGCCAGTTAAGGTTAAGAAACAGAAGTTGGTAAAATTCTAAATGCTTTCATTCCTTATGCTTTCTTCTTTCATCTACAATTTTCTCGATGTAAATCTATATATAAATGGAAGTGCGAAATTTACCGTGGAAACAGACGACAGAAAAAAAAAACTTGTAAGAAAATAAAGCAACTTGGTTTAACAGTTAAGTCGTGCGCTTAAATTAAATACTAGGATGTTAATTACCTCAATGGTCATGCTGATTACTTGCATAAGAAAAGGGGTCTTGTAGTTTACACAATTAGTCAAATTGATACAGTTTTGTCAGTCAACTGGGACTAAATTAACACAGTTGAAGGTGAAAAAGTACTATTGTAACTCTCTTGTTGCACTGAAAGGAACAAACAGAATGACGTCGCGGACTGACAAATGGGACATCAGTGAAAACTGTACACATTAGTATGTACCGTAAACTGGAAGTTGTATTCATTATATAAAAGCTTCTCGCCCTATAATGGACACGTCCAATTAAAAGAGGCTTAGCATTGTTAAACTAATTTGAAACTACATAATATATATATGTGTGTATAAATAGGATTATACATATTTAATCAAAGAAATCATTTTGTTTTATATATATATATATATATATATATATATATATACATTAAAATAAAGATGCTGCATAGGCAGAATATATATAAATAAGCAATTAAACAAAGTTTATGTATATGCCTCATAATAAAATATGAATTGCATTTCGACTATAGGTCATCAGCACCTGATGATGATGGTCGAAAGTAATCGTACAATAAATATTTCATTCTGAGGCAGATAAGATACATGAACTTTGTCTCATTCATTAAATTGAAAAATATTTGTAAGTATATTAAATTAATTAAGAGTTTTATATTTTAATATCAAAAATATTTTAAAAAAAAATATGAAAAGAAACAATGGAATAACGTTTGTAAAAAAAAAAGGCCTACTTATTTGTAAAATAGGCCTATTTAGCGGCATTCACATCGGAACCAAACCGTAATGGAAGCGTTTCCGATGTGCTGAAGGATTTATTATGTGCTGAAGGATTTATTATGTGCTGAAGGATTTATTTATTTAAATAAAGTATGTTATATTATAATGATATACCGTATAATGTGATATAAAAAAAAATAAAATTATTCTATTAATCAATTTAAATTATATTTAGTTCCAAATTACCTTTATTCGATTATACACGTTACTGGTTGTATAAAAAAAAAACAGTAATGCCATGAAGGTAATGAAAAAAAAAAATCGATATAGAAGGAAATATTGTACTGTACTGTACTGATTGTTTGAATAAAGGTGGTGGTTACGCCACGAAAGAGAAAAAAAAAAACTTTGTCTCAT